ATCAATACTTTTTATAACGACGTGTAAATTTCGGCTATATTTGGACGTGACGTCATCTACACAAGTCCCCTTACAAGTAGCCAATGTCCCACAATAGGAACGTTTGAGAAGTGCACAGAAGGCAAGAAAACAAAGATGGTGCAAAACCTACACAGAAGGCAAGAAAACAAAGATGGTGCAAAACGTTTGAGGAGTACACAGAAGGCAAGAAAACAAAGATGGTGCAAAACCTACACAGAAGGCAAGAAAACAAAGATGGTGCAAAACCTACACAGAAGGCAAGAAAACAAAGATGGTGCAAAACCTACACAGAAGGCAAGAAAACAAAGATGGTGCAAAACCTACACAGAAGGCAAGAAAACAAAGATGGTGCAAAACGTTTGAGGAGTACACAGAAGGCAAGAAAACAAAGATGGTGCAAAACCTACACAGAAGGCAAGAAAACAAAGATGGTGCAAAACCTACACAGAAGGCAAGAAAACAAAGATGGTGCAAAAGGTTTGAGGAGTGCACAGAAGGCAAGAAAACAAAGATGGTGCAAAACGTTTGAGGAGTGCACAGAAGGCAAGAAAACAAAGATGGTGCAAAACCTACACAGAAGGAAAGAAAACAAAGATGGTGCAAAACCTACACAGAAGGAAAGAAAACAAAGATGGTGCAAAACCTACACAGAAGGCAAGAAAACAAAGATGGTGCAAAACCTACACAGAAGGCAAGAAAACAAAGATGGTGCAAAACCTACACAGAAGGCAAGAAAACAAAGATGGTGCAAAACCTACACAGAAGGCAAGAAAACAAAGATGGTGCAAAACCTACACAGAAGGCAAGAAAACAAAGATGGTGCAAAACCTACACAGAAGGCAAGAAAACAAAGATGGTGCAAAACGTTTGACGAGTACACAGAAGGCAAGAAAACAAAGATGGTGCAAAACGTTTGACGAGTACACAGAAGGCAAGAAAACAAAGATGGTGCAAAACGTTTGACGAGTACACAGAAGGCAAGAAAACAAAGATGGTGCAAAACCTACACAGAAGGCAAGAAAACAAAGATGGTGCAAAACCTACACAGAAGGCAAGAAAACAAAGATGGTGCAAAACGTTTGAGGAGTACACAGAAGGAAAGAAAACAAAGATGGTGTAAAACTGTGCGCACAATTCTGTTGTTGTTAACATATAAGCGGCTGTACTTTTCAAAATGATCTCCTCACAGAAAGGCACGGTATTTAGTGCCAGACGGCTGTAATGGTACTTAGTTGCAGACGGCTCCAGTAGGGGCAGATGGCTAGGGCTGATAGTGGCGCCTAACGTGTGGTCGTCGGGACAGATTTTGTTACGTTGGCTGCGTGACTTGACTTTTGATTGTGGGGAGGACAAATAGAGGGGGTTTTACAGTAGAGATCGGGGTATAGGAGGACAAAATAGGGAGTTTTACAGTAGAGATGGGGAGATAGGAGGACAAACATAGGGGGTTTTACAGTTAAGATGGGGGGGGGGAAATAGGAAGACAAATATAAGGGGTTTTACAGTGGAGATGGGGGGATAGGAGGACATTGTGAATGTTAAGAAGAGAAGCGGAAATACAGGCCATATATATATATATATATATATATATATATATATATATATATATATATATATATATATATATATATATATATATGCACGATGTTTGTATACAAGTGCATGTTGCTCAAAGTGGATCATGTTAGGCCGTGTGAGAAAAATTGCCTCCATTATTTCTAGTTTTGGATTCCCACAAATGTAATTTATTTTGAATGCGATCGTTTTTGCAGCGTCCATGTAAGAAACATGCAATCCCAGATCCCGACAAGCATGTGGCTTTAATGCTTGTTTCCTTTAGGATTACAGGTTGACGGCTTGATCTGTTTAGATGGAACACAAATTGATTCGGGTAAAAAAAATATTAGATCATTTCCTCGAAGCAATCTTGACGGTTATTTACATTACTGGAAAAATCCTGGCAAGTCAAGTTTGTGGATTTGCGAACATGACGGGCTGGGGTTGAAGGGTGGGGGTGGGATTTGTCTGTATGAAGCATCCACATTTTTTTCTCTCATGCATCCACATTTTCATTGATGTATCTTTGGTTTTTTTTTGTTTTACATTGATTTACACCGCTGTAAAAATGATGTGTGTGTTTCAGGGTTTTCGGCGTGTTTCCACAGAAATATTCCCATAAATGTACGGCTTTGAGGCATCCTGACAAGAAAATCTGAACTTTGGCAAACTTTGGAGCTGGTTTTGTCAACGTTGTGATACATAAGCTAGGTCTTAGATGCTTTGACCACATGTGCTTTGACCATAGGGGGTTTGAGCATAGGGGTTTTGACCACAAGGGAGCTTTGACCATAGGGGGTTTGTCCACATTTTTTGGGAAATAGAGTAAAGTGCTACATTCAGTCACGGTAAATCACTTAGAGATAAACAAGTAGATAAGATCTGATACCTAAGTATAAAATCTCGTCCACCTACTTAAAATGGTACTCAAATTAACAATACTCAGGTAATTGTGTTCACACGGAAATGGAGTAAAGAGCCATTTCCAGTTATCAAAAATCGTTTACACGTTGAGAGAAACCTATGTATCCTATGCTATATTTATATTTGAAATTTCGTCCACCTAAACCTAAACGATACACTAGTTATTGGCTTTTGAGAAACCGAAAGAAGATTAAGTACTAGACTCTATTTATGATTTTCGGAAATCGTTCAGCAGTAGAGAGAAATCTGCAAATTTTACATGAAGCTTATGTATGAAACTTTGTCAGCTGTCTGAAACGATACTCAAGTTATCATGTTTACGTACACACAGACAGACAGACATAGAACATTGCAAAACTAAGTTTTTCCAACGAAGGAAGGTATGAAAACATGATAGTAATAAGGCCGACAAGCAAAAGTCTAATTATAGAGTTGTTTAACTTGAATGTGTGCAAATAAGAGAATTATCTTCGACCTAAAATATTACGGTCCATCCAAACGAGGCTAGACGCAAGAAAGCTTAGAAAGCTATAAATGTAGTAGCTCTTTGAAAAATATGTAGAGTAATTTCCAGACTAATACATATTCTTTTGTTATTTAATAATGCAAATATTACTGGTTTAATTGAGAGAGGGTTTATAAATTTAGTTTTGGATAGTTTAAAGAATAAACCTACTTAAAAAAAGAGATGCTTATTTAACATTTAAGACCCGATACTAGAGTGATTATGTAAAACAAATAAAATAAAGCTTTGTTTTAAATTTAGGATTATTTTTTGCATATCATTAGAAATAAACATATATAATATATATATATATATATATATATATATATATATATATATATATATATATATATATATATATATATATATATATATATAGATCTATATATATATATATATATATATATATATATATATATATATATATATATATCTGTAAATATACAAATAATTATAAAATTCTGCGTCAATCTTGACCTTCCTTTCCAGACAAAAATATCTACAACTACAGATGCAACATGTCTACAGTTTTCTTCAAGTATAAGTAAACTATGCTAATAAATTTAAATTGCGCTTTATGTTTGATTCAATATAGTTTCCAGACGTGCACAGCGTTCAAGCCACGACGTCGTTTCGTAGTGCAGAATCTTAAAAACTGTAATTAGAACTAATTATTTGAATTTGTATGGCAGAGCGAATATTGAATTCTTAATACTCTGTAATAAACAGCATCAAATACATTCTATTTTGGGATGTTGAAGTGGTCGTAAAAATTGGATTAGCATTTTCAGACAGACGGCAGGATGTCCTAGCAAAAAGATTTGAAACACGACATTGTAGGCGTGTAACATTAGGTAGAAACACGACATTGTAGGCGTGAAACATTAGGTAGAAACACGACATTGTAGGCGTGAAACATTAGGTAGAAACACGACATTGTAGACGTGGAACATGGGGTAGAAACACGACATTGTAGGCGTGGAACCTTTGGTAGAAACACGACATTGTAGGCGTGGAACATGATGTATAACACGACATTGTAGGCGTCGAACATGATGTATAACGCGACATTGTAAGCGTGGAATATGGGGTAGAAACAGCGGATGAAAAACAAAATAATCCAATGAACAGTGATTTCAACATTCGCCTAGTTTGTTCAATATGTGATCTTTAAAATCTGGGATGTTAACTTAAAGACGGGCTGAAATTATTTTTAAAAAAATTTAAGATGCAGTTCGATGTTTTCAGTGTCTCAACGTTTTAACGTCCACGTCTCGCACACTCATCAAATTGTACCTAAAAATATCGACCATCAAGCTAAATGTAATAAACGATAAACAAGTAAAACTCTAAAAGTTACCTCTAAAACTGACCAAGTATTATTCAAAGAGTGACCACCAAGTTATTTTCTAAATTTGTATTTCTCTAAAAACCAACCATCATGTTATGCTTTAACTGTCCATCACGTAGTATTCTAAATTGATAACCAAGTTATATTCTAAACTGAACATCACGTTCTACTCTGAAATCGACCATCACATTCAACTCAAAAACTGACTCCGATGAATCAATACTCACTCTACCACTGACAATAAACAAATACTCACTCTACCACTGACAATAAACAAATACTCCCTCTACCACTGACAATAAACAAATACTCACTCTACCACTGACAATAAACAAATACTCTACCACTGACAATAAACAAATACTCACTCTACCATTGACAATAAACAAATACTCACTCTACCACTGACAATAAATAAATACTAACTGTACCAATAACAATAAACAAATACTCACTCTACCACTGACGACAAACAAATACTCTACCACTGACAATAAACAAATACTCTACCACTGACAATAAACAAATACTCTACCACTGACAATAAACAAATACTCACTCTACCACTGACAATAAATAAATACTAACTGTACCACTAACAATAAACACATACACTACCACTGACAATAAACAAATACTCACTCTACCACTGTGGTGGGATCACCCCGAGGGTACTGTAGATCCATGTGCAGGAATTTGAGCTGGATCCGTTCCCTGCCACTTCCGGTGAAGTTGTACTCACACCGGATGTCCTTGCTGTAGGGCTCGGGGTAGTTGGGACTGGAGATGGTGCCGGACTTGTTGTTACGGCTCTCGTGGTTCTCATTGCATGGTGGATCTGTGGAGGTCAAAAGTTCAAGGTCAAGACAAACGGTCAAGGTCACAGCACACGTTCATGGTCACAATACACATTCAAGGTCGCGACAAACCTTCAAGGGCTCTAGGGTCAAAATTGGTTTACTTACATCAATCTTTCAAGGTCACTAGGATCCAGAGTATTTTACTTACATCAAACTTTCAAGGTCACTAGGATCCAGAGTATTTTACTTACATCAAACTTTCAAGGTCACTGGGGTCCAGAGTATTTTACTTACATCAAACTTTCAAGGTCACTAGGGTCCAGAGTATATTATTTACATCAAACTTTCAAGGTCACTAGGGTCCAGAGTATTTTACTTACATCAAACTTCTAAGGTGAGGATGGTTCTTACTACAGTTACAGCTAAATGAACGTGGACAAATATGTACGAAAGCTCTCACAAAACCAAATGATTCCTTGTCTATACTAATTTATGCTATACGTCTTAAATTAACATACTTTTGAGTTAGTGGCCAGATAATTATTAGCACCAGTTTTGTGGACCGGAATATTATGGAAGGAAACTTTACCATACATGAGCTCACGCATTGCAAAATCTGGGTGGAGTGTAGGACATTAATGAAAATGTCGGACATGTCGGGTATTAAGTATAATGAAAGTGTAGGATATATGTCTAATGTAAGTGTAGGACATTAGGTCTAATATAAGTGTACGACATTAGGTCTAATGCAAGTGTAGGACATTAGGTCTAATGCAAGTGTAGGACATTAATGAAAATGTCGGACATGTCGGGTATTAAGTATAATTAAAGTGTAGGATGTATGTCTCTAAGTGTAGGACATTAGGTCTAATGCAAGTGTAGGACATTAATGAAAATGTCGGACATGTCGGGTATTAAGTATAATTAAAGTGTAGGATGTATGTCTCTAAGTGTAGGACATTAGGTCTAATGCAAGTGTAGGACATTAATGAAAATGTCGGACATGTCGGGTATTAAGTATACTTAAAGTGACGGATATATGTCTAATGTAAGTTTAGGACATTAGGTCTAATATAAGTGTACGACATTAGGTCTAATGCAAGTGTAGGACATTAGGTCTAATGAAAGTGTAGGACATTAGGTCTAATACAAGTGTAGGGCATTAGGTCTAATACAAGTGTAGCACATTAGGTCTAATGAAAGTGTAGGACATTAGGTCTAATGCAAAGTGCATCCAGAAAGCGCATCACGTGTTAGATCAGCCCTCTGGCATAAAGTCAAGCGCCAGGGTTAACTAGAACATTCCATCTCGGCCTCGACAGCCACATTTAGCGCTCGCGGTGTCAATCCAGGCAGAAACTCCATTGTCAGCGTCTAATAAAGCAGAAAATGTTGGCTGTAAGATGGCTGGGCCAGCCTGCAGATTTCAACACCAGTTGATAAAGTTTACCCCACAAGACAGACTTGCCATTTTGGCATGTAGTTGACCCCTCCTTCCCCCCCCCCTCCCCGTTACACAAGGTCCATGGTAGCAGGAAATATGACGGTAAATTCTAGTACAGACAGAAGCTCACAACAATGGCAGAATCTTCGAGATCAGCAGCATTGATGTCTTTGAGGGAAACCTTTAGAGTCAGTAGGGATTATATATATATATATATATATATATATATATATATATATATATATATATATATATATATATATATATATATATATATATATATATATATATAAGGATGACAGCATTACACTCCTACAGCCAAAGAAAAACTCATTCATAATGTTACGTCATCAACTGAAGTAAAACGCATTTATAATTCTGAAAGCTGTATCTTTAAACAATCAATATAATATAAAACTCATACGTATTTCTATATTTTCAGGTATATATCCAATAGTCAATTAAAACTCCTACATATGTTAAAAGATGGAACATGTAAGTCAATATCAATTACTTCTTTAGCTTCATTCAGCTAAATTTTTGTAAAAAAAAAATTTGAGAGAGATCTATGGCTATTCTGATCAGCCCAAATATATTAGTTTTATATTCCTGAAGATTTTTTCTCTTGTTAAGAATAAAATGTCTGCTAGTCTACCGGATGTGAGGAATGCTGGGAAGACCTGGGGCGTATTGAACGTGACGTGAAGTAGCAGATAATCAGCACTTGGCGATAACAGGCTCGATGAAAGAGACGACAAGACCAGAGGAAAAAACTAGAAGACATAACTACACTGAACAACACGCTAAAGAGCTACATTGAACAATCGTTACAGAACTACATTGAGCATCTCATTACAGAACTAGCTTGAACATTTCGTTACAGAACTGCATTGAACGATTCGTTACAGAACTGCATTGAACGATTCGTTACAGAACTATATTGAGCATCTCATTACAGAACTACATTGATCATGTCACTGAACAACACTCAACAGAACGTTAAGCAACAGGACACATAACACGATTTAACTACGCTCAAAAGAGCTACATTGAACAACGTGCCACAGAGCTACAATAGGTAACACGCAATCGAACTACATTGAACAACACGTTACAGATTTACAGTGTAAAGCACGCAGCAGAACGACGATAAAGCTACCATTAATAGCTATACCATCCACATCATGGACCTAACATGAATGAATCGCCAAAAACTGAGTACTATAGAAAAAGTGATTGCGTCCATTGACTTCATACAGGAATGAAGACGATGATAATGAAGAGGTTCAACAAGATGTATGGGACTAGAGTCACAATTTCTACAAACCAAAACTTTGAGATGGATTCATATAGTTTAGCATCGGTTTTTGAAAATTAGTGTTAAAAAGTCCCAACGAAAATTATAAAGTGGAATACAAATTTCAATAATTCAATCAAAATAAATTTAGTAGCCGATTTCTTGAAATAGAGCCCCCTTATTTATCGGTGAGATGTGTGGGTCTGCCACCATCGTGATTCACGAGGTCACAATTTCTGACGTCATGCATGACGTCACGGACGAGGTAAGTGCCAGACGACAAACTGTGATCCGGTCGGTGGGTTCTAAGCATCAAGACTTAATTTTCTCAGCCAGCTTGGCGAGACGTTCATTTCATGTCTGACCGAACAGGCACGACTTCCGGTCCTGGGATCTTTTAAGTCACGGCGGCACTCGACGTATTGATTCCTGACTTAAGGCCCTTTGGTCAGGTCAGTCAGGGCTGGTTAGGGTCAGTATTTTAAAAACTACAGTACTTTAACTTTGGGTGATCAATTTTAGTGTCAGTATTTTAAAAATTACAGTACTTTAACTTTGGGTGATCAATTTTAGGGTCAGTATTTTAAAAACTACAGTACTTTAACTTTGGGTGATCAATATTAGGGTCAGTATTTTAAAGACTACAGTACTTTAACTTTGGGTGATCAATTTTAGGGTCAGTATTTTAAAAACTACAGTACTTTAACTTACATATGGGTGATCAATTTTAGGGTCAGTATTTTAAAAACTACAGTACTTTAACTTACAGATGGGTGATCAATTTTAGGGTCAGTATTTTAGAAACTACAGTACTTTAATTTACAGATGGGTGATCAGTTTTAGGGTCAATACTTTAGAAATTAGAATACTTTAACTTACAGATGGGTGATCAACTTTAATGTCAGTAGGCCTATTTTAGAAACAACATAATTTATATGTACTGATTGGTGTTAAACTATAGGGTCAATAATTTAGGAACTATTAATACTTAAAGTTACCAATCAGTGTTTATTTTTAGGGTCAGTATTTTAGAATCATACAGTGTTTAACTTTCAAGGAATGTAGCCTAAAGCATCACTCTACGGGAATATTGTCGGAAACGCTGCTCACGTTTACGTGATGAAGAGTTAGTGAACCCCATCGCCCCCCCCCCCCAACACACACACAGCACCAGTGGTGGTAATTGACTTTGTGCCGTGGTGGGTATCACCTAGGGGAATTAATGAAATATTAATTAAGTTCGGGTTTAATTAGAGACAGGTTGAGATTACACCTAAGATCATTGAGCGAGAAAGTGGAGCACTTACAGGGAGGGGGGGGGTAAACGGGCTGTGGTGGGGATCAAGAGATTTAACCTGGGGATACTGGCTTATTGTGGGGTCTTGTTAACAGCAGGGGTCACTTGATTGGGGTCAGAAGATTAAACTGTGAGAAGAATTTGTAGTGGGGGGGGGGGGGGGGGGTCTGGATTTGGGGATCTCGCCGCCTAAGTAGGGGTCATGTGATGCGCCTTTTTGATGACGTCATCCTGTTGGAACAAGTGCAAATGCCCTGGTAATTTCTCAGTCTCAACTTCGATGAAGTAAACATGAATAGCGAGTCAAACATGTCAGAAACAAAGTTACATTCTTAACCAAAAACTGCTAGGTAACCAATGGACAGTTTTCAGATTGTCGATTGGTTGCTACATTGAGATCAAGTGCTGTTGACCTCTGCGCCCAAAATTATACGTGTTTTTTTGCACTAAATAAACGGGCGATTAAAAAAATTCTAACCCAATTTTAAAAATAATCGCGCATCCCATCTGAGACTGGCCTTAACCGTTGCCTGGGTATTCTGAAGGATCTGGTACTATTGATATTTTTTTCCAAACGGTCGCTACCAGCTTGAAACAACTCCCCGTTTATTCCCAGATCGTAGGGCTGTGTACCGAACTCACGGTACTGCCGCGACTTTTGACCCCGTTCATCAAACATTACCCCTGTCTTAAAGCTCAGTCTCCTGACCCCAGGCTCCATTCAACCCCCCTCCCCCGAGAGTAACCACTGCACGGTACCCACTGTATGTATTCTTATCACAGCCAGTGTAAAAAAAATTCTAAAATTTTACAAACGTTTTTGGGAACCTTGCCAATCAGCTTTTAGAATAAATTTCATCCTTAGCTTTGCTACCGAAGAAAATTGCAGTTAATTCAAAATTCTCCACCGGATTCCGCTCGACTGCTGAACTATTAAATAATTCCGTTTTATTTCGTGAGACCCCAGGCTCTGCCAGAACAGTCCTGCAGTTAATGAATA